CATAATGGTTTATGAAACTCTATTTGTATTTTTTTTATACTTTCAAAAACATCCTAACAATGAGGTACTTTTAAATCTTGAGATAAGTAATTAAAAAACAAAAAACAAATATCCCACAACAATGATTGTCATCAAGCATTTYTGAGACAAATTTTGCTCACAATTAAGTAAGGCTCTCAACACATCCACAGCTGGAAATAAAATCATGGACTTGACACTAGAGGAACACAGCTCCAGGGCAAGGTCCAGCATCTATTACCTAATTGCTAACATGGTCCCGCATTATGACAGACATGGTAACAGTCTGAGATATTTAATTTATCACTATTTCTACAGAGTTTTTTTGCTTGGCATTTTCTTTATTTCACTGGTTTCCTAAACCCAATGGACCCTGCTCAAGGTAGGTTTTAACACAGGGAAGAGAAGGTTCATTTCCTTCATTTCACGGGTTAACTCCTCCTGGTTCCTCCTGCACTCCCACCTCTGGCATAGCTGACTGGATGCCCTGCCTCTGTTAAAGGCAAACACAAGTCCAGGAGCACTTCCACCTGCCCTCGGGCATTTCCTGTGTGTACCTTCCACTTACTCTGTAGATTAGGAGAAGGACTTTTCCTCTGTTTGTGGATACTGTTGAATAGTTTTGGGGGCTTTAAGCAATGCTAAACGTCTGCAACATGCCAAACCTTTCAAACTCTGTTTATCCTCCTTGTTCCTTTTTCCTTTCTTTTTCTAAGAGAATCAGTACTTAACTGAAAAACAGCTTGCTACTAAATGTACATAATTGCTGTTCAGTGTGCAGGTTAAAGAACCCAGTATAGTTAACACAAATAACCACAAGTATTTTTATTACACAGACACTCCTGCAGATAGCTAATGTAAGCCATCTATTTAAATCCAGAACTAGGGGAATCCCACACTACAATAAAATAAGAAAGGTGGAGAACGCGAAGTGCCAGCAAAATATAACTAATATCCCCATCATAAAATTAATCAGGCAACTGAAAACTAATTCTATATGCAGCAAGATTAAGAATTCAGATACAAGATAGCAAAATAATATCCCAGTCAAAATAGCTCAGAATTTTTCCACATATTTGATAAAGGTATTAGGATTCTTTATCTTTTTTTTTTTTAATCAAAACCAGTACCAATTTTTTTTTTACTAATTAGCCTTCACAGACTGAAAACAAATATTGGGCTGCCTTTTTTCCAACATMTCCCAATAGTGGAGATGAGTTTTGCATTCATGCACTTAAATTTAAAGTGCACAAATGCCACAATAGACTGCAGTGACAGTTCACAACGAAGTAGTAACTTGTGATCCTTTTCTCCACAGCATAAGCTGAAATCATACTCCCACAAAATCAGCAAGTTTTGTTACCAAGTTCTGAAGGTAAATTTGAACCCTGCTCCTTTGGGACAATCTCATCCTGCAAATTAACATATACAAGAGGCCTCTCCCAGGCAACGAGAGACTCGACTACCTTCAGTTTGGGAACTGGAGCATGTTATCCAGTGTGAAAGAAGCCCACATAGGAAGGGTTCAGCACAAAAGGCTGGCTATTTGCACTTAAACTGATAGAGCAAGCTGACCACAAATCTCTCCAATAAAATGTTCCACCTAATTTAGCTCTTTCTTGGCCAATAAAATATCTTTAAAAGAAATCCTGGCATGTAAAAGAAAGAWGACACACAGATCGTACAAGTATATTACAAAGAAATAGAGAAAGTTATCTTAATATTCTAAATTTTTTTTTTTTTTTAGAAGAAAGATCTTTAGAATGACCAGCAGTCAGGCACAGTAGCAATTAAAGTGAAGCTACATAGCTGCTATTTCAAAATTGCTACTTGGCACTGTGGTGCTCATTCAGAGACAAAGCAGACATTCAGCATAAAGAGCTCCTCACTACTCCAGGAAGCTTTTATCTTGCAGGGAACAGATGTGGCTCTCACAGAACCTCTATTACACAACTGCAATGATCCACGACAGGTTAATGCCAGCAGCACTGTTTGGTGCCTCACCTGTGTCCCTCAGTCCCCAAGGACCAACAGCAAGCATTAACATCCTCTCTAACAAGTCTACAGCTGAACACACAACTCCAACCTGTAAAAGTTATAGTGCTGAAAGAACACTCACTATAGCCAGAAGACTATAGTTATTTTTCATACTGTTTGCTTCTTATGGATGCAGATACAGTGTTTTTATAGAATATCACCTATGGAGATTTAAGGAAAACAGTATTTGCTCAGATGCCAAGTTGGAAATTGCTTCACATATTCATTCCAACACTTGGGATGCAGCTGCAAACCTATTCAGAATCTACTCAATGCAGCTTCCTCCGTCAGTGTGATGACTACAGCCCATTTTGCCCCACTGCCCATCTATTTATCCTCTATGTGCATGCATTATTAYACTGATAGAATTGGTCACAATAGCACATCCTGTTCTCTAACAAACCAATGACCACTAGGCTCCAAAGTGCTGCATGCAAGGAACAAAATTTCAAATACTAACATTGCAATGGGAGGAAAAAAGGTATAACAAAGAAATCAAATAGTTTGAGAGTCTTCTTTATAACTGACATATGGTTTATATTACCTGTAACCCAGCTGAATTAARGCTTTCCTTCCTATTAGTAAAGGTTAATACACAAAAGCTTTATTATAAGAACAAGAATCATATTCCTCAAACACTGCCATATTTGAGTCCCAAGAGGCACTTGACATTAATCATCTGTTCAACACTACATATGTTTCAGACCATCTCCTACCAGTCTTTCCACTTCTGCTTTGCCTGTATTTTGCATTCCTAATACTGTGGTCTTCCACAAAATAATACCTTGTTTTGTTTTGTTTTTGGACATTATCCAAATAGTGTATAGCTGACTTGCTACTAAATGGCTAAAGAAAAGTTTAGGGTGTTTTCTGGCASCTGGTATCTCTCTTTTATTTGCAGGAACAGTGATAATAATAACACATTTATCCCTCAGAAAGTCTTAATATGAGCAGTCACTCCTCAAACAAAAACAATTTTTTTAAGACATTAATCTGAAAAGCTACTAAAACCCAGAACCATAGTTATAGATCTGGGCAGGGCTAAGTTGTGGAAAGTGAAACTGACCACACAAAGGCTGCCACAAACCTGGAGGACAAAAAGTACAAATACCCTGGCTATTAAATTAAAAATGTGGTAKAGAAACAAATTATCAACTCTAAAAAAATAAAAACTCCCCTTACATTCAGTAGTTAAAATTATGGACAAATAGCATTTATTTTTAGAAAAAAGCTTTTCAAAACTTACTCTGACCTTTGAACCATCAATTTGTGAAGTAATTCTGCAGCAAAAGTAGCAGGAATGTACAATCTTAAGAAATTTTAAGACCCCTGAAAGAGTTACAAGAGCATTTAAACAACAGCATGCTAAATAAAGCAACTGAGAAGACTCGCACAGGTTTGTTCTAGTCCAATGAAGCTGTCTTAGGTTTCAGGCAAGTTTTGTCCCAGCTTTATACGGAAGTAAGTGGAAGTACAAAGTCCTTCCCACTGAAGAGGGATGCATAACCACAGTCCAGAAGACTTGCTAACCATTAATTAAACTACTAATAAGGAACACTTGTACAGGCCTACAAATTAGTTTTAACACTCTAAAAAGATATAAGTAACGAATTTAGACGGACTGTATTAWGAGGAGGACTCTTATGTTAGCATTTGCAGAACTATTAAAATTATTACTTAAACAAGAGGTATAAATTTTCCAGTGAAAATTTAAGCAGGGACTGGAACCTCTTAACTGATCTTTTTGAGATGCAAGACTCAGCATGTTCTTCCAAATTCTGAGATGGTTGCATAGCTCTCCATGGCAACGCAGGATACATGAGCCCTGCAGTCACTGGCAAGAATCTAACAGGAGCAGCACATTAGGCTGAAAAAGCTTTTAAAGCAGAAGAAAGGGCACAGCTTCAAGGTGGGGCAAAATTGTGTCTTGGCACTCACTATATTGACCTATATTCAGGTCAATAAAGCAATAGAGAACAATTTCTGACTCACTATGCTCCTCAACTGAAAAAGTGAAGAAGCAACAGAAGGGCAGCAACTACACTAGCTAAAGCTGCAGTCTAGTGGWCAAATGGCACTAGGACTGGTATCATCTGAGTTTAGATAAGCCATAACACACAACACACAAACTCTTGAACAAGAGTTTAGAGCTTGTTCCCTCTATACCTCACTTCYCGCGTTATGCTTGCAGATCCTTTCGTTCCGGTTCTATTACCAGCTTGTTTCATTCCCGCCCTTATGCTTTTATTTTCTATTCATGCATCTCGTGAAGCGTAACACAACTGCCCAAAGCCGGCCGATGCACAGCCCTGCTGGTCCCGGCTCCCTTCAGAGACACCCAGGCGAGCCTTGGCACACAACGCACCCGCGCCGGCCACGGGCACCTCCTGCCTTTGTTCGCCAACCGTCGGTGGCTGCCGGCACACGGCACCGGGCTCTCACAGAACTGCCCGGAGCGGGCCGCACCGCCACTTCATTCGCCAACACACCGGGCCGCTCGGGGCCGCAGCAACTGGCGGGACCGCGTTCGGAGCCCCCGTTCTGGCACCCAGCGCTCCCCGCCGCGCCCCCGGCGCCCCGCTCACCTGTGTGCCGAGCGGGCGGTGCGAGAGGCCGGCGGGGCAGAGAGGGGCCGGCGGGGCTCTGAGGGGCCGGTGCTGTGTGTACCGGGCCGGCGGGGCCGAGCGGGGCTCTGAGGGGCCGGCGCTGTGTGTGCGGGGCCGGCGGGGCCGAGCGGGGCTCTGAGGGGCCGGCGCTGTGTGTGCCGGGCCGGCGGGGCCGAGCGGGGCTCTGAGGGGCGGTGGGGCCCGCCCGCCCACGCGCAGCCGCTCCTGGAAGCCGCCAATCGCCGCCGCGCGCGCTCGGCTCCGGGGCGCGGCCGCCAACGGCCGCATCATCCGCACGGACCAATGGCGGCGCGGGGCGGGGGCGGGGCCGGGAGGAGCGGGCGGAGCGGGCACCGCTCGGGGCGGCACCGCGACACCGCCCGGCATCGTGTGCCCGCCGGTCCCAGCGCGGGCCCGGGGGAGGGCCGGGACAATGAGGCACAGCGGCCCGGCCCCTGCGGCACAACCACGCTGTCCCCGCCAACGGGGATGGCACGGCCCCGCTGCTGCACTGGTGCCCGTAGGAAAGCGAGGCTGCGAGTTCGCTTCTGCCGCCTCGAGCGACTGCAGATAAGGTGAAACAACGCATTCTATAGTGCACTGCTMATTAATTGTACTTTATCTGATGGACGGGAACCAGAATTGGGGGAAAAAAAGTGATCTTTCTCTAGAGCATAAACTAAAGAAATGCTGTAGASTGGTGATGGAAAGGTGGGAAAGGGGTTGAGGGTTTTATTTGGGTTTTTTAGCCTGAGGTTGAACTCTAGCACCACTCGTGGCTCTGTTACCGAGTTTTTTTGGTTTTGCCACCACAGCAGGATTTATGAGCAAGGACAGGTACCTGGCAGCAGCTCCTGTTCCCGACGCTTTTGTAATTTGTGTCTTCCTATTTGCTCCAAAAGTAATGTAGACTTACACTAGCGCAAATATGGAAGCATTCATGTCAGTACTATTGTTCTAAAAAAGCCACAGTAGGTAGATAATTAAATATTAAGTAGGTAGATAACTAAGCGTTATTGTTCTAAAAAAGCCACAGTAGGTAGATAATTAAATATTAAGTATATAGATAACTAAGCATTAGTCCCATGTGTATTTAAGTATAAAATAATTATTACTCCTATATTCCAGATTTTGATCCATGCAATAATAAAAGTTCTATCCACAACGACAAAACAATGGCATTCATATTCTACATWAACTGGATATGGAGACTACAGAAAAGTGCAAACTGTCAGACTGGATGAAAGCCCAAATGAATAATTCATTTTCAGATGCATTAGTCTRTAGCACAGATGCAACTGAAGAGGAACAAGATGACTTAGTTCATGATGGAGATACAGRAACAAGGTGTAAATACAGCATTAATTCAGATAACTTCAATGACTGTACTTGTACAAAATATATTTCTGGTATTTTAAACTTAGCCTGTTCTGAAGATAACAAAAACATAAAAACAGCAGCCAATTATGAAACTCATCCACAGTCTGAAGAATTCTCCAGTCACGACCGAGGCACCAGAGGAACAACTGGTGTTTCAGCTGAAATGCCTGGAAGTGAAGCTTCCTTCAAGAAGGAATTACCTGTTGGTAGTTGTAGCAAAGAACATATAACTACCTCCAAAATGTCCAGTGTCCTCCTGCGTCATTTTCCTAGGGGAGAGTTACTAAGCACATGCCACCTAATTGAATGTGARACGATACCAGAGACATCCTTTACTGAAAGTGTCGATGACACTGGGAGCAAACCTGAGCCTTCAGAACGCATCAAAGGCCTTTCAGTGCATGAACAATGGGACACGAGCTCTGACGAGTACCCCTTAGAAAAGCACAGGGAAGTAAAAACTGGGGACAAAAACGAAAACTCATTTAATGAAAATRGATCTGTTCCAAAGAAACCTATTTTTTCTTCTGGTAAATGTGGGTGCAGACAAGAATATTCACAATTGATTAATGAGACTGAAGATACACACACCTTTCAAAACGTGAAAGATGAGAGAGCCCTGTTTACAGTTTCACCTTGTGAGCTCAAATATGGCCGAGGGCAAGCTCACTATTGTCTTCCTGACTTCTCTGAAGTTACTTCAGAAGTTAAAGTACCAAAAAGAACTGACAATATTAACTCAGTTCCTTCAACTGGGAGAGCAAAACCCTTCCCTATTTTGCTAAGTAAATCAGTAACTGTGAACAACATTCTGGAAAATAARAATTACTTCAATTCTGCTGAAGTAGAGAACCARGAAGAAATGAGTGTTTCAGAACTGCTGCAACAGCTACAGGTAATTAAGATGCTTGAAGAAATTCATACTGGGTAAGAGTGGTTTATTCTTCAAAGATATCCTGTGTCTCATAAAATCTGATATGACTAGTTCATGTAGGCACTCTGTAGGTGTCAGTGAATACATCACTTGTTTCAAAAACTGCTTTCACAAAGTTTTGTGGGACTGACTTTATACAGAACTGTCATCAATTATTTAAAGGCTTTTTATGTTAAAGGCTATTTAATACTCTGGTATTTAACACTGAAATATTGTTTGTGATGATAAAGCATCCTATCAAATCATTAGGAAATTCACTATAAATTGTTGGTTTTAGTGTTATATTTAAATGTTTAAATTCACAAAAAATACTTCAAATGTATTTTTAAGAGCAATGTTATGCTTTTATATTGTGTTTATGTTAAGACATCTTTGCCTTTTTTGACATCTAACACTCTTCAACTACTGAGACRTATTTATTGACAAGTCAATTCTTTTTAAGGGATTTTTTGACAACAATATTTCTCTTACTGTAGTGAATTTMTTTTAAAGCTTGTTAGTAATTAGATAACTGCTGCTCAATTTCATGCCCTGACATGGAGCTCACTCACAGAGCTTTACAGATTCTTAATACCATTCCTAGATTTACATCTTAGTAAATGGCTTGAGATACAAGTTTTAATAGTTTTCCCTATTATTTCCTGGCTGCAAATGAGATGCTGACACAGCATGCTGACACCCAGAATCATATTGATCATCTGAGATTTAATCCTAAGGTAAATTTCCCAACTTGTCTTTTTAAAGTCATTCTTTTTTATGTCTTGGACTATGACTATCCCCTAAAACTATTTTGTYGCCTTCATATTTTATTTCCCATTCATACAAATCCTCTATATTTTCACAACACAAAGTGGAAATATTTAATTTATACAATGAGACACCATATACACCTTATTATCAACTGCGAAAATTAAATGGTACTGTTATAATAAACATTTCATTAATATTTTGTATTTTAAGTTTTTTGTCTAGGTCCACAAGTATTCTATACATTGTATCTATAACAAAGGTTCTCATTTTAACAGATACTTCCTCAGTCAGACTTTGCCATTTTCTCAGGAGACACTGGGACACCACCTGATGTCATCACATTACAGGCTCCTATCCCTGTACAACCTACACATGGTTTGCCTAAAGCAAGTAAGTAACATTACAGTAACTATGCAAATGACTATTTAATGTAATTTGATTACACTTTTGGGCAGAAATTGCAATTGATTGATCTTACCTTGTATTACATAGGAGTGCAGCCTGGAACAGCAGCATCAGCACTACCAGCAGCAGGAACAGTAGATGCACAGTGTCTAAATCCTACTGRTTCCCTGGCAGAACTAACACTAGGAGAAAAGATGTCTCAAATACTAAAGGATCAGACAGATCAACTGACTAAAAAAGTAAGAGCTCTGTTTCAATATATACTTTGCACTGATGCTCAAATTCCATATTCACTTGCATGTTTGTATAAATATCATTAACATCTAATATTTTGTCTTGAAGGTGGAAGACTTCTCTAACCATATGACCCAGGAAACATTGTTTTCACAAGACAAATATCAGGTAAATTGACTTATGTATTTTGAGCTATCTGAAATGCACTTTAAATGGCTGTAGACTCACAGTTTTCTGGCAAGATACTTGATGTTTACCTTAGATGGATGTTTACTCTTCTTCTCCATTCAGACTGAAGGCTTAAGAAGCAAAAATGCAGGTCTTCAGTAGGTGGATGAATTCTTCAGTTTTTTAAGGATTCCAACTTAAAACTATTAATAAAAGGCTTGAAGTTGCCATGTAAGTTAGGGATTTTGACATGTAGGGTATCAGTTCAGGAATAATTTATTATTTTACTTGGACATAATAGAGCAGCACAGAGAAGTAGGTGAATATATAATGTGCAGTCCTGTTTCAATTCAGAGAACTACCAAAATTCTTACCAACAGCACTGCAAATAGCATCTGGCTTACATAATAAGACATACTGATAGCTGTATAAGCTAAATTATCATGACATTTTGTATTGAATTATTTCTTATTGATGAAGGCATTAAATCAACTGAAAAGATACCTTGATGCCTTGGAAAGGAATTACTTAACAGCTAGAGAAAAGCACCACAACTTACAGCTGCACAACTACAAGGACAAGCCTATCAACCTTGGAGAGTTTGATCCTGAGAGGTTAGAAGATAAGTGCTAAGTAGTACATCAGTATGTGTTCTCTATTCTTAGTGTTTCAAACCTTTCACTTCAATTATTCATTAGAGTTCTCCTGAAGTGAAAATACTATCTTAATGTGGTAAACTGAAAGTTATTTGGCCAAAATTCATCTTGGGCTTTACATATCCTACTTGTAATTGGGRAGTCTATTGGATTAATTTAAATACTTACAAGGGACTCTGCTGACTCCATAAATTTTCTTTTTTTTCTATTGGAAATGTACTGCAATGTCCACTATGGTTATCATCATAAGAAATAAAAGATCAGTTTATACAGTTTTAATTAACTGTGGATTGTGATTGGATTTAGAAGGGTGGAAGGAGGAATATTCAGACTTGGCATGCTCCTTGAAGACATTCAAGAACAAATGGATGACAGCAAAGGCAGCCTGTCATCTTTGCTGACTTCCTATGAATCTGCCCAGTCTTTTTGTGAGGTAACTGAGTTTACTGCAGACTACAATTATTCTGTTTTACTGATACAAGTCTCAAGAGCCTTAGTGCAGTGGTGTGATTGTCTGTTCTCCAGTAAGAGTACGTAGCTTTAGATAGCATGTTACTTCAAAAGACAATATTTTTAATGAAATATTAACTTCATAATATGTCATTAACTGAAACATAAGTATAAAAACACAACTGAATGTTCTTAGTTCCAGTTTCGAAAGCATTTATTTCACAGTAAGAAAACAGGAGTAGCTAATTTAACTTCTACAAAGCTGCTTTGTTTTGGGGAATTAATCACTATCATTTAGTGGGAGGAAAGATTACTTTGTCAAAGATCCTTAAGATACAGAATTACTAGAAGAGCAAACAGTRTTGTGCTATAGAAAATTGAGTTTACTGCTAAGAATGGTAATATTTTGTCCCAGATCATAAATACACATATGCCCTGCCCCAAAAAAGATCCTACTGTAACGTTCCACAAATCTGCAAGTCTCAACAAATGCTTTCATAATCAATATTTTAGATAACTTGGACTTCAGAGAAAAATGTTAGGAGAACCTCAGGAGGTGCTGTTCGGTATGAGTCGTGTCCTTGCTGTGCATGGACCGCATTTGCCTGTGTCTGTGCTGTTGTTACTTTGTACAGAGCTCGGTAGTTTCAAGCATTGCTGATCCTCCGCGAAGAGGAACTGAAACTCCATTTCTTCACAAGAACCATGAGGGAGAAAGAAGTCAGACAACTGATATAATCCCACCAACAAATCAGCTTTCTTCAGAAGGCAAAAAGTGCCATCTTTGTCTTCATATGTAAGTGAAAACTTTGAAACAGCTGTTGAAGTTTTTATAAAAATATATGGAAATTATTTGCTGAATAAGAAAATTGGGATGACTGAAATCTCTGAAAAAAACCAGGAATATTTCCAGAATAAAACTTGTACAGAATTCTRTAACTATATATCCAAAGTATTTCCGGAAGCCAAAACACTACCATCATTTTCACCTAGGACTTAAATCATACTTCTKTATAAAAGTCATGACAGCCACATGAATTCAGGCCGTGAATGGCTAGACCAAATGCTAGTAAAAGATTATTTGCCAATATTTTTGTGGCATTTTTAATTAAACAAGAGAAGGAAGGGATGCAGATACTTACATAATTAACAATAAAAACCTTGTGAAAACCRTACATACCATCTCCACTCTCCTCGGAAGTATTTTTTTAGAAAAATAAAATAAATGGTCTCCCYTTAACCAATCTACAGTTTAAAAAAAGAGAACTGAAYGAAGTTCTGGGAAATGAATGCATGCAGCACAGAACACAGTCATATTACTATAAAACCATCATAAGATTATTTTACAGGGTAGATGATAATAGTTGTCTAGTAAAACCAGCCTAGCTTCCACGTTTTTCTCTGTCATTGAAAGAATATTAGTTAAATCTTCTGATCATTATGTTTATGAATGGGCAGAAAATTTTCCAAATAAACTTGATGACCCTGTATACTCCAAGTTAAAAATACACATCAAATAACTCAAACAAGGAGTTTGTTGTTGTTCCTGTTCTCTCAGAAGATACATCTCAAATATTCCTCTAATTATCTAAAGGCATTAAATTAAAGCCTTAATAACAGCTTAGTGTTAAAAACAAAATAATATTTAAWGTATGTTTTTATCGAAGCACAACTCTCAGTGGTAACTGATGGATATATCTAAGATTTCATACTGCTTTACTGTTGAAATACAGGATTATCAAGACCTCACAGCACTTTTAACAGCTATGGTAAATCAGGGTGCTTTTGTCAGAATGTGTCCTTTAACTGAAGGATTYCTTATTTTGCAATTGGTTAACTATTAATTTTAATTTCTGCTTACCACCTTTTCAGATAACTGATACATGTAAAGTTCTTTCTGGGAATAAAACTGATTTTTTCTCAACTGAGAAGTGATTAATCATTAATATAAGGTGCTTATAAGTCTCAYAGAAATATTAAGATACAATTTAAATATTCTGTTTTCATGCTTAAAGAAATACCCAGGAAAGAAAAACTGGAACATCTTCACTCTTCATGCGAAGAAAACCAACTGATTTATCAGATACCAACCTGAGTAAGTCACAATGGCATACAAAGGTCAGAACCGTGCTTAAACCTGCCACGGAATCCTGTGAGGAAATACATTCCTTTCATGTCTATTATGGTGCTGAAAGCCAAATAATTACCTGAGTACAGTAACCAAAGTTTCTAATATTTCAGACCCTTTTAACTTACTTTCTGAATTCTAGGCAGTGATCCAGAAGACTTCTCAGCCTATRATTCTTACGATTCACAAAGCAACAACCTGGTCAGCTGTGACACTCTAAGTTACAAATCCTTAAATATGAGATTATGTGGAGAAAGAAGAGGTAACATGATTGCAAAAATATTAACATCTATAAAGAAACATTTCTTTATAGTTAATTTTTCTAAACAACATGTCTCTGTTCGCAGGATTTAGATGCAGATGCCCCAGGGGAAGAAGAGATCAAGTAAAACTCAGGAATTACAAAGAGTCTGTTCAGTCTTGCACTCTATGTAGAAATAAAAGTCCTGGTTCATCCTGTAAGTATGATATGCTACTGAAATAATTAACAAACACAGAGTAGGTTTTAAGGGGTGGAAAGCCATGCTGCACATACAAGGCCAAATTTAATTTACTATAAGCAGTCATTAGCATTGCAAATTCAGCTTTTACACACCTGGTCAAGTTTAATCTCCCTGGATGACAGCTTTAACCTTCCCTGGTTCTTTATGAGAGGAATCCCATTCATATTTCATTTATGGCAGGTATATCTCAATTTTGCAGAGCCACATGAAAGAATACAAAAATTAGGCATTACTGTGCTAACTTTTATAGTTCCAGCCATTACCTAACGTGACATGCAGCAAAACCAAGGAAAGCCTAATTAAAAAAAAATTAAATGTTGAACATCTGAACATCTACCTTTTAAACCTACGTAGACTCTCTGTCTCCAGCATAAGAAAAAAATTGCTTAAAGAAAAATACTAAATTTCTTTGAGAAGAAAGTATAAATTAGCTACTTGTCTAGCAATTCCGTGAAACTATAAGTCAAAGTATCTGTCCTCATTTACAAAAAACTTAATTTATTCAAGTTTTATTCAGCAACGATAATTACTTGGTCTACTATTTATGCTAAAGAGAAAAAAGAAGTTAAAATACACAGAAAATTACCTTTTTTTCTTTGTTTTAAACATGGCCTCAACAACTCCAGCTTATTCACGGAAGAGAATCTCCACTCAAAAGGCTCAAAAAACCAAACAGCCATGTGAAGTTGTAACCAGACTTTGTGAGAGGTAAACTGTAGCAGTAACTGTGTAGTACAACACTGTTGAAGAGTCAGCATTCGGGAAACACACACTAGTATCATAAACAGGAAGAATGTTTTATGCTTTGCAGTGCATGTTGTATATCAGAATTTCACTCTTGGGTGAAATTAAAATATTTACTCTCAGGACATGGGTAAACAATTCTTAGCATMGTTCTTCACTCCTTCTAATTTAATGAAGAGTAAAAATGTAACTTCTTTATCTGACACATTTAGTAATCAAAAAAATTTCACTCTAAGAGGATGTTCCCATTCAAAGATTCAAAAGCAGGGCTGTGTTATTAGAATTTAGCTTTGTTTGTTACCAACTATTTCTCTATAGGTAAGAATAGTACTTTTAATTGTTGTTAACATTAAATTACACTGCGAGACAGAAATCACAGACTAGGCTGAAATGGAAACAAGTTTTGTCTGTATTTTTTGACAGCTTTACTCAATAGCGGTAATTGCCTCGAAGTAGAGCAGCTGCACTTGCGAATTAGTGGCATAGAACACTGTGAGAGAAAGTTACAGCAGCAAAAGAGTGCTGCTATTATGAGAAATTTCCTTACTTTGCATCCTAGGACAATTTSTGTCTTACTGCAATACAGATGGAACACAAATAATGATGGACTGTGCTTTACAATTCAATGGAAAATTCTACTCACYGTAAAATTAACTCGCAACCAAGTGGTATCAAGGTATATGTATGTAATTCATAGTTCAGATTTTTTTTTTTTTACTTAAATTGTTTGTATTTTATTCTATRTATCTTTAGGAAATCCTTTGAGGCTGCCAAAACCTGCTGTTCAAGCACATGTGATAAAATTATCCTTTCACATCAATACGTACCCAGTAAGAAATGTGCCCGAAGCAAATCTGCAATCAACATCAGAAACAGAAGTGCCAATGATTCCTATGCAAATGTAAGACTTTAGAGTGAAAATTAAAAGCCACACAACTTCCTTGAAAGGATTACCTCCCTACATTATGGCACTGTTGAACATCCCATTCTTAGCAAGCAGATTACTACAATCTAAGCATGTGTAGACCATTTGAGGGTGAGACAAGAGGGRGTTCAAAACCCAAGCATTTTAGCTTATGTATTAGTGTATTACTTCATATAGATATGTACACACTTGTTATGCAACTCAGTCCCTGTATAAATGGTGAAACAGACTGAAAAACAGCACTGGATCTTGTCTCTAGAGTTATGTTCCAAATACTGAAACAAAGTGTAGCTACAGAAATCACTATCAGAACCTCAAGAAAGCCGCCTCAAAATCAAAACCATGCACCACACTGGAGCAGATACCTCAGAAAGGTGTAAATATCCCTCAGTTCAAATGAATACACAGTCAAAGAGAGAAATAAGTAACAGATCCTTCCAACTTGAATCCTGGAGCAATCTATCACATGACTCAGTTTTTACTTCTCAACACATATTCAGAACGAAAATCATGCACAAAACTTTAAACAACACCTTTTCCAACACCTATGTGTACTTTTGCCTTCACTATTAACAAGGCCACATTTTATTAATTCCAACAGATTTTAAGTTCTATGCTGGATCATGCCATCCACACAGCAAACAGTTTGAAGAAAGCTACAGAACGAATGGTACAAGCAGTTTCAGAAGATCTAGCTAAAGTTAAAAGACAACAGTTTTAATTACCTAATTCAAATCCTATATTGTTCAGCTGGTTCATACTGAAGTGTTGGTATCTCTACAAAAATAAAACRGTTAATTCAAACATCAAAAAGCCAGCTAACTTTGTCAGCTGTTCTGTACCTATTGGTACAAAGCAGAGTATATAGGCATTCCACGTTTACACTTAGAACTGTAAAACAAGGTATTAACTCTATTGGAAATCTTTAGTGGGTTGGCAAATCCTCACTACTGTGTACAGATACCCTCTTWAAGTATTCACTTAATATAGCTTAATAAAAACTGGCTGAAACAAGCAAAATCAACTTCCTGACTTTGATTCTCCCCACCTCCCAAGTGTGAGAATAAATCTCAGTCATTAMTACAGATCATTTCTTCCCACGCTTGAACAGCAGCTGCCTAAGCACACCAAAAGAAAACAGCCTCTTGTACCTGAGACATCTGGACACAAACATCATGCTAACGTGCCAAGTCATAGCCAACATTCATAATTATTTGGTTTTAGAGTGCCTGACATTGAGAGGTGTTTGTTTTTAAGAAACTTCCTTGCATGTTACAATGACTGAGTTACACCATTTGTTGTTTGTGTATTTGTAACAATTAAATAGGTTCCTTCAATGTGATGCCCCTAACGTGGCTTTGAGATTTTAGCAGATGGTAAGTAGGTTGGAAAATTTTAAAACACCATAGAAATTAAGTGGGCTTAAGGAAAAGTCATCTATAATTTTCCTTCTAACATCCATTGAACTGCAGTGATTAAAACCAAGGAGACAGTTAACAGACTTCTATTATCAGGGATGCTATTGACTGAAGCCGAAGTATGTAAGGATGAAAAAAACAAATTAGATGAAAAACAATGAAAAACAAATTAGAAGTGTCAGTGCATTCCTTAAAAAGGACAGTAATTTCCAGGCAAACCTGAGCATTTTCATCAGTGGTGGATGCAGAAATAATCCAGACTCTGTTAACAGAAGCAGTGATTGCTAAACTCACACCATGTGCCACTTACTCACTAGCCTGAATCAATGACTTTTTTTCAGAGCTGCYTCCACAGCTCACAGCCAGCAATACCATTCAACTCTTTTCCTCCTTAGCCTCTTACTGCATATCCTTATAATTTTAGTTGTCTCTGCTTATTATGTTTTTCTTTATTTAGTTTAATATTTAGAACGTCCCCACTATTTGCCAAAAATAYTCTCTTTACATATTAGTTAACCTGAAGGCAAAATAAAAGAGAAAAAACTAAAGCAACAAAACAAAAAACAAATACTCTTATAATTGTAACGAACATAAATTAAAAAGCCATGACTAATCAATTCTTTTTCATTATGAYATTTCTCTCAGATTCTACATACAACAAACTAATATTTCAACGCACATAAATACAACATCCCTTTAAAAGTTTGGTAATTTTAAGAGAGAAATCTAAACATCACCAGTATTACAGAATTCATACAATTTTTTTAAAATTTCCTTCAATGCAAATTTAAGTATTTATTTCTTAATATGTAACAAAACAGAAAAAAAGTAAATTCTCTAGAATACATCAGCTTTTGTCATTTCATTTACTTCATGCTTTTCTTTATCAGTTTACCAAGCCCTTTGAAATATTGAACTGCTTCCCTTCTTTTCCTCCCTTTTCCCCTTGCCTCCACTTCCTCAAAGAGACATGCTTAGTTTTGGAATTTCTGTATCACAGGCAATTCAACTTCTGAAACAGACAGACTATGTAGAYAATTATAAGGCATTTTCTAAGAAATTAACTTTTTTCAAAAACTTCAGTAATAATCTCTGTATATACTTAAATATAAAGTGTATTTCAGTGCATGGTTAACATAATTTCTCTGAAGTTATTTATTGTGATTGGAACTGCTCAGTAATTCTCTGAATAACTACCTWCCTTACCCAGCACCATCTAAAAAGCCTTTAGATTTTTCACAATTGCACATATTTAAAGAATTTTCAGTGAGTTTTTACAGAAAATATTACACTTTAAGACACTGCACTTGTATGACACATTTTTACCATAAACCCATATTTACAAATCTTCATCTAAGTCCCTACACAAGGGCCTAGGCCCTTTTTAATTCAGTCATTTTTAGAAATAAATTCTATTATAGAAAGCTTTCAGTTCTCAAAGACAATTCCACTTTACATATAGTTGCAATCACCTTTAGCATAATTACTAAGGAACAAACACCCTTTTGAAAAAGCACTTGCAGTGTAATACTAAACAGAACCTAAGAACCACGTGCTTATCTTTCTACTCCCCCAAAAAGCAGCAAATTTAAATTGTAACACGACTTCCTATTAGGAACCATGTAGTGTTGAAGTGCAATATTTGGAAAAGTCAGTTCCATTAGAATATTTACATACTGTTGGTGTTTTTAATGCATCRTAAACATCCATCTATTCATCCTTAATGCAGACCATATCCTTGGGTTTACTAAGGCTCTTCACTTCCTCCAGTAGTCTTTTAGGTGTCAGAATATGAGTAGAACCTGACAAAAKAATGTAAGTATGAACTGTATCAGTCAAATTCAGACTTTCAGACATTCTSTCTTTAAAACACCAGTTACATGCCAGTGATTTTTACTGTACCTGGAAAACTGACAAGTACAACAGTTCAAAGTGTTTTCATATAAAGCACCATCGTGTAAGTGCCACCATTAGGTAGGCAATGTCCCTTTTCCCACACTCAGACATCCAGATCAGGACTCTAAACACAWGTTTCAAGTCCTAGTCTGCCCTGTTTCAAAGACAGACTTGAACCTGGCCCACTTTTGCTGTATGCAATTGTCCCAACCTGCAAGAAACTGCCACTCTGTAGAAGGGTGAGTTAATAAGAGACTTTATCCTAGAATCAAGAACCTATCTGGATTCAAGGTTATCACAAACAGTAGCATTCCACAGAAATACCAGTTACAGAAAACAAGCTTTTACTGACTAACATTTCCTTGAGAAAACAAAATCCAAGTCTTGWGCAGCAAAGAAAATCCTTATTATTCTTCAGGAGTGCACAACTACCTCGTTTACTCTCACAGAGCATGATTATAACTTCTGCCATGAAGGGTCACCCTACAATTCKGAAGGCAACAAGTGGTGTCACTCTGAAGGTGCTTGATAGACTCAAGAATTCCTTGAGTCCTGAATCAGGAACACAGCAAAATTTTTATCTTTCAGTMATCCATGTGGAAATTTGGAAATTATCACCTTCCCTCAGAAATCAGGATTAGAAACAAAACTACTAGAATCATCTCTAAACAAAAGGGAAGATGGTGCTGTGGCGAGGGCCGGATACCACAGTGGAAGAGTAACCTACACTAAACATGGTTTTGTAAACCAGTCACCGATGAAGAAATCATCTTGTTAAACTACATTCCTGCTGTCCTGGTCTTTCCATTGCTACTCAAAACTACAACCAGCATTAAACCTACCTCAACCACCACCAATAAAAACAACAAATTAAAAAACAACAAATAAAAAACAAACAAAAAAAACCCTAACCACACAAAAACACACCTACAATACCCCTGAATATTTTGAGGTAACAGACTCTAGATTTCAGAATCAAGATTGTCACTGTTTTAGGGAAGAGTATTTATTTAAAATCATGGTAGAAGGTGAATAGATTCAATCCTTTCTGAAACTTAAGACTAAATTTAATGGCCAGCTGAAGACATCTCAAGCAGTTCACAAKGCTTTAGAAGACCATGCACCCAGCTATCTGCTGGCACTGCAGATTGACACTGGTCTGTGGCAAGGTTCTGCACCTAGGAGTTCTGCTATATTATAAATATGTACATGTTTTAGCACCTAATTATTTCCTGTAATGCTATTTAAAATTCACCTGAAGCACAGAAGCTGATGGAATAAGCATCTGCTCCCTCCAAAATGCTGGGATATTACTACACCAGGTGCCAACTGYCAAATCTTAAGAAGGGGAGTATTCAGGACAAAAGCAATTAATCMTTGTGTGGTTTATGCAAAGTCTCTCAAGTAGCCAAAACAGAAACTAGAAAATGCTGCAAAGTCAACTGATCTACACTGAAAAAGTRGTTTGGGGTTTATTTGTTTTGTTTCCTTTTTTGAGTGGAATTTTGATTAGGATTGTTAGGGTTTTTTAATACTTRTCTTCCTTCCAAAGTGAGCAATTTTGTACTAGTCTGTCAGTTTTCCTACTTCCAAAAGCAATGATAGTAGCAAGTGTCACTGAATGTAAAGCACAGGCAGATGCAGAAGTTTGTGAGGAAACTATAATGCAAAGGAATAGAGTTCTCTTCAAATCTTGTATGCTATACATTKATATATTTCTCTGACATAATTCTTCTGTAGAGTATAACTGTTCTTTTTGTCCCTAATATCCTGTTGCAAAAAAAAACCTCCAAACATCAAACAAGTTGAGATAAACTGAAAAGATGCTTTTAAGTGCAGAGTTTTATGAAATACACTAGCTATCGTATTAGTRTAGTGAACCAACAGAAGGAATCTAAGAAAAATTATTACATTTTCCAGAACCACACATAGTACAGAACACACCACCCTTTTTCCAGGGCAAGCTTACCTATAACAACTTCACAGGACTTGTAGGCCTCAGAAACTTCGTAAGCACTGCGCATCTCYGAGTATGTGATTCCTCCAATCACAAATATAATCAGTCTTGCACTGCTCTTCCGCTCCTCTCTGTAACTTGCTTTAGGTTTCTGGCGTGCACTGCAAAGGAGTTCATAAGATGACATTTATACAGCTTGCTTGATTAATTTTTGGTTAAAATCATATACTCAACAATCAGTGGTAATTTCTGTTGTGCAGTTCATGGTTTAATTTTAATTTCAGCAGAAGTTTTTAGATAMATTGACAGTTTGAAACATTTAATAAAAAAAAGCAATCACATTACTCAAACTGTKTAAGTATCACTAGGGGGAAAATAAATACAAAACAAAAACCTTGTTGCACACATGGCTAACATGCCAAGGACTCCTGCCAAGCAGCTTAACTCTGCATGCTACCAATTTCAGTGGCATTTTTCATGAGAGGTTCGTTGAAAACACCTRTAGTCTTAGGTTTTTCAGTCTCTGAACACAAACAGAATCTCTAAAGAAAATATTTGTCTGTTATCAAATGAGATTCAGATACCTAGGGGAAAAAAAAAMCAACCTGCTACTCTTAAAAGTCTAATACACACATGTAGTAATTGCAGACTCAGATAGTCATCTGCACTCCTGATCTCTCTCTAGTGCCTTAAAGATTCCTACATTTCACCAGCCTATATGACAGAGATCAAGTTACAGTGTACAGGAACTTGCTCTAGTATTCCCTTGCACTGATCATCCTAGTGCATATCCAGGAACCTAAGGATATATCATCAACAGTCTGATTAGCAGTGGCAGTAAAAAACCTGTTTTCTTAAGGCTGTGCATCTCTACTTTTTGYCTTTTCTTTAGTAAGGTACAAATTCCAATTCAAGTGTGTCTTCCACAGTYACAGTATGTTTAATGTTTGCCTCCCTAAATTCCAGCATCTGAATAGTGCAGTGAGCATTCCTGAGAGAGGAACACTCTTAGTGAGCATTCCTGCAATAGAAACACTCCTAAGAGTCTCTACTCAGSTCCTAAGAGTCTCTATTCAGTTGTCTCACCATTTAAATAACACTACAAAGAGTGGTAAAATTCTCARATTGGCAGATACTGGTCATGA